ATAGGTTACAGGTTAGCACAGTGGTTAGTGTAGCGCTGGCTGGGGTGACCTTGGGAGCGGGAACAGTGAGACTAGACTTTTGGGGGTAGACTAGACCTTATAACCAGCGACTTGAACAAGTGTCTGTATCACCCTGAGTCTCCAGTTCTCCAGATCCGAATTCAGGGTCATCCCCTGCCTTGATGACCTATTGAGAAGTGACTGTGTAAGGAGGCTGAAGCCTGAAAGCGTCACTTGGGACCCGGCACGCAGAAGACAGCACGAAGGGCTGGTGTCATGGCTGGGTTTGACGGCAGGAAGATGTGTCACTGAATAGGTAACAGAAGACCCCTCTCCACTAGGAATTTTTGCAAAAGCCAACCCCAGTGCTCAGGAATTACAGGAGTTGGCCAATGGGCAGTGCTGTACCCGGGGCAGTTTTCAAGGGCTCCCCACACATTGCCTACAGCAGAGGGTACTTCCTTTCTCTCTATCTGGTAGGGCCTGCCTGTGAGTGCCACCTGTCACTGGGCACCACTTTCTCTCCTAGCGGGGCTCCCTTTCTGCGTGCTTAGATTTTGTTTTCCTCTGAGGGGGACCACAAGGGCCTCTCAGTTTGACTATAGAGTAAAATAATCACTGTGGCCATGTGCCTGGCATTTAAAAACCTTCTTGTCAGCATGCCTTAATTTTTCCCATTTGTTAGTCCGTAAAGCACCCTTATTACTATCAAACTTAGGTTTTAAGAAGGCAGAATAAAACTTTTCTTCCATCATTCCCAAAGTGAAGATAGAGATCTGAATTTTTTTAAAACATGGTGGGAGGTATCTATATGATATTGTTTAAAATCAATTATCCTTTACTCCATATTCTTTTTCCGTTGTTTATTTTATCTGTCCTTCTCTCCCAGAGGGGCAGAATTAAGGCCCCCATTTGGTTTTTATTAGCATAATCAGTTAATAGCTGTTCTATAATGCTTTACTTATTGTGTTAATTTTCTGTAGTTATGTCCAGAGGCAGCTCCCTGGAAGACTACACTGAAAAAAATAGAAGATCTAACTTAGTTATTTTTAATGGGTCCAGTTACCATTTATAGCCTCAGTTCAGATTATTGAATACATGGATTCATAAGGTCATTGAAAACATATAAACTACAGCTTCCATTTTAAATATACCTCCAGTAAGCCTAAACCTTTCATTAGTATGGTGAATTTAACACACTCACCATAGAGTCTTTGCTCACTTTGATTGATGTATATTACCCATTCTTTGGATTTGGATAGCTATATCAGAGATGTGCATGCATGCTCTTCCCAGAGCTGGTCTGTGGCTCAGGTGGCTGCTCTCTGGATCTGAGTGGCCATTCTACAGTGGCTGTTGGGGATATGGGAATGCACCCTCCATGGACTTGACTATTCTTGTGCGTAGATGGCACTCAAAGCAGACATAGGGATAAACTAATGGCAAGATGGATAGCAAAGAAGGTATTCACAATGAATGTGAAACAGGGGGCCCTGTTTTAGGTTGCATTTGGAATTAGGGGAAAGTACTAAGGCAAAGAGAAAATGACTCAGTGACCAGCACCAGGGGTTCCAGACTGAGCTCAGCTATGGACTAGCATGAAGGCCTTGTAGGGCTTCAGTGTAGCCTGTCGAGCAAGGAGTTGAGATGACAGTTTCTAAGATTCCTCTGATGCTCCAGGCAGCATCTGGCCAGTGTGGGAGGGGGTCACTAGCAGGTGATTGAATCAGGATTAAAAGCTTCCCATTCCATGTTAAGTCTCTCTGGAAATAGGCATGTGCTTGGCACAAAATAGGAGCACCATGCTTCATTATAAACTAGTCCTCATTAAAAAAAAAGATTTATTGTATTTATTTATGCATGAAAGAACTGGGGTGTAGGCCAGAGGTGCAGGGAGTGAGAGGATTCACCAGAGACCGAGTGGGGAGTACAGCAGGTGGATCCACTGAACTACATAGCTGAGGGGATCAATGGGTGAGACAGGAGAGGTCTGCTGAGCCATGTGGGTCAGCTCCCTGGCATGGATAGAACTCGTGTTGCAGTGTCTGCCAATAGCTTTATAGTGCTGAGACTGTAACCCCTGAGCCACCAAGGAGGGCCAAACCTGTCTTCATTTTGAAGCCTAAGTAAAATTCTGTTTGGAGAACTATTATTGATAGGATGGCTGTGAGCAGAAACCAAGAAACCACAGATGGAAGGCACTGGGAGCCAGCTGGGTGACCCTGGGGAAGTCACTTCCTTCTTCTCTCGCAGTCATTTCTCTTTCATTTGTCAAATAAAGGGTTTGGAGAAACATCACCACAGTAGCTCCTAACTAAAGAAAGTTGGTGACCTTGTAAGAATTGCCTGTCTTTAAAGCAAATTAGAAGGTTCAGATGTTTCCCAACATCTGGTACCAAGAGTAGTTAGAGCGTAGTTAGAGCGTGTTAACTTGGATGCAGTGCTCTCTGGGGAGAAGCACACTAGAATCTATTGGGCTGTGCTGGGCAGAAGGAGACAGAAAGGAGAGCTGAATGCTAAAGGTTGGCTGGGAAGTCTGCAAAGAAGGAAAAGAAGTCTCCGTCCTGCCTGTTTATAGCCGCAGAATGTGCCAGGTGCTGTGTTTGAGCTGGTGCAATGTCGTCTCTGAGCCAGCACCTCACTGCCTGTGCTTTCTATCCCCTGGCATGGGGCTGATATTCAAGAACCTTTAAGCAGGACTGTCAAGGAGGGCCAGAGCCATGGACCCAGCCAAGTCAAAGCATGGTTGTGACAGTGGAAATAACTTTAAGGCATTTCAAGGAGGAATCTGGAAAATAATTACGACATTTTGAAAGACATTCTTAACATGGATCTGATTTTCCTCCATGAAGCATTCCGGTATGCCAATTTTCAGGTGCTAAGCTGAAAACTCTAATGGTTGGACTCAAGTGCTTTCATTTGTGTCTTGAGGCTTCTGTAATTTTGAAAAAAAATATTAAGATGATTTTCAGAGAGGTTAATGCAAAAAGCATTTGCTGGTCAACTATAGCATCAAAGAATCGTCAAGATCAAGAACTAGACTGAAAGTGTTCAAGGTTCTAGTTAACAGCACTGAAGTAACACAACTGTGGAGTTGGTTTGATGAGGAAAAACTGTCAAGGTGTGATTGCAATTTTTCTTTCCTTGCTGTTGGGGATTTTTAATGGGAATATATCCTATATGGATTTTAGTATTCATGGGACTAGTTCAAATTAAAGTGGAGCTTCAAAACAGAGCATAGGGACAATGAGTTACCTGAAGGTTAGCAAAGGAGATACTAAAAAGAAAAGTAATATTTTGAGCCACAATCTTAGGTGTTTCTCCTAAAATATTTAAAAATCCTTATGGCATTTACATACACACATGCATATACATCTATAGCAATATAACACTATATAAACATAAATACATGCACGCATATATCTATATCTATCTACCTATCTATATATACATATATGTTGGACTATCAGTTCTCTGATGGCAGATTTGTTTGTTTGTTTTTGCTTTCCCTGTGCCTAGCACCTAATAGATTTCTATTTAATGTTTATGAAATGGCAGAATAAAACCACTTTGTTAACTATAACAAAGTGAATGCAGACCATCTAGAAGCATAGCAGATTTGGCCTACAGAATTTGGCCAGTATTTGTCTAACCTTTAAAAATCCAGAAACATCAGCTTTACATAACAATATGGATTTTGTACTCTTTTGAAAAATCTGAAGATGCTGCAGCATTTGGTCCACAGATATGCACAGTGACAGTTAGCTGGGGACCAGGACAAATTTCCCCTTTCGACAGGATCCTTCCCACTTGGCACCAGGCCCTGGAATAGGACTCTGGACCAACTTCGCTTTCTTAGTGACCAGCCTGGTCCGTGAGCTGTGCTGTCTCTGCTGTCTCATAAGGAGAGGACGTTGGCTCCTTGCTATGTGAACTTTGAATACATTCAAACCCTAAATGTGACCTCAATTGTTTTCTCCACCATCCCCCAACCCTCCCCCCGCCCCCCAAGGAAGAGGCACTCTAAGAAAATCTGTAGTGCCAAATTCCTGGGACTTCAGTGTGCTCCAGGGCACTTAATAATCCTAATGGTATCGGGTAGGAGTTCATCAGGGAGTTGTTCAAGTTTGTCAGAGCCGATTACAATACAATACATCCACATCATCAAAAGTACATCAGTCCCTCTGTCTGTACATTCCTTTCTGATGAAATTTGTCCAGGGACTTTTCAAAATGACATCACCTACCCATTCTTCCTTCCTCAGTGAATAAAAATGAGGGAAGAATGGACAGTGAATTGGAATAATGCACATTGGTGAAAGTCCTCTAATTGGAATCATTATTGCTTAAGACACCATTGCTTTAATCAGCCAGATCATAAATCAATGTGTTTCACAAGTGAAGGTTTGAAATAAAGTGCTGTTAACCAAATTGGGTCTCTTAAAAGGCATGATGCAATCGGGAAGCTCCTGCAAATGGATAAAAAAGTGGTTTCTGAATGAATATACTGTTTCTAGCATTTTATCTTCTACTTAATTTAAAAAAAAATTACCTGGTCCTTTCTTAGAAATTACATATTGGAGGTCTATAATGGCCAAGCCTTTAACCCATTAAAAAAATTTACTCCCAGGGACAGTTAATATTTGACGTTTAATTGCTTTTTCTTGTTGGAGAAGGAAAATCTGTTTCTTTCCTTCCTTTCTTGATTGACTTTTCAAAAAATAACCTCATGAGCTATAAAGATGGAGAGGAGTAATTGATTTTCAAAAGCTCTAGAGCATGCCCAGGTATTCCCATATGTGTGTGTGTGTGGGCGGGGGACGGGCGACATAGAATCGTCCCATGCACCAGCAACTGTTGTGTCCTCTCCACAACTCTGCCAGGTAGCTGTTGCTGTCTCCACCTAGCAGAGGAGGCAGTGGAGTCCCAGAGAGGTTAATTGCTTATGTAAGGTCACACGGTATAAGTGACGGGAGGCTGAGTCTCGATTCCTTCCAACAGGTTGCCTGCTTCTAAGTGGACTCCCACCAGGTAAGCAGATACCCCTGGAGCAGGGCCAAGATGTCGTGCCACTGGTGCCGGTGGCTGCAGTGACTAACCCTATCAGCGTGTTTAGCCAGCACCAAGTTCTGGAGTTTAGCAAACAGTGCCACGCCATCCACAAATGTCAGAAGTGCCCAGGTCAGAGCCTTCACGAGAAGGAAGTCGTAGTAGCTCAGAAGCGCTTTCTCCGCAGAGTTCTGAGTGGATGAGTGGGATGTTCAGATGTGTTTTCTTATGACATCAACACTCACCCTGATGTTAAATGAAACTTTGGGTCTCCTCAGAACTTGTTTCAAGTGGAGGCAGGGACTAGGGTGTCATAGGGTGAAAAAGGTCAACAAAATACTCTGTGCGGTCACCTCAGTGAGAAATTTCCCTTTGCCACCTTCTCTTGTAGTAAATTTACTACCAGAGGCTAGGGTGTTTTCGTTTCTTTTCTTTGCTTCTTTTCTTCTTCTTCTTCTTTTTTTTTTTTTGCCTTCCCACAAACCTGGGTATTATTTAGGTCTCTGGCAAAGCTGTACAAACCAACTGTTCCTCTTCAGATTATCCCTTTCAGAGCTCAGGTGATAGGCCTCCTTGAGTTACACCCTCCATGTTTTGTGGTCAGATGTGGGCTGTGCCATTGTACATGGATTCCCACCTTTCAAGAAAATATTTATGTGTTAGCTTCCCCAGCTCTTATCTCCTCTGGGAACGGCCCCGTGTGGCCTGTCTGGATGTCAGCGCAGACAGTTGAACCACTGGCCTTCCTGGGACCACCGGACACCTGGCAGAAAACCTAGAAGCTGCTCATCCCCTGGGGACTTCACTCAGCCGAGAACTGTACAAGGTGTGTGGCTGGAGAAGTTTCTGGGCAATTGAGTTCAACGCTTGGAGAAAGTGCTGGGAAGAAAACTGGCTGATGTTGAACAATGGACACTTGCATCTTTCACAGAATCTCTTTCTTTACATTTGGGAGCACAAACACTTGCTTGCACACAGCTTTGTTTTTCTTTTTGTCTGTTGTTGTTTATTTTAAATTTTTGTCCTTTTATTCCTGGTATAAGGTATTCCCCATTGTTCACCCTAGAGTGGTAAAACTGATGCCCCTGTTGTGCTGTGATAGGGGGTATTGGTAGAATCTTTGTGGAAGTGCATTTAGTTATGTGTATCAAGAGCCATCTTTTTTTTTTTTTTTTTTTAATAACTCTTGGCCAAATAGTCTTTTTCCTGGCAATCCTTTCTCACTACCAAAAAGTAATCCCTCAGAGGTGCTCTTCAAACTGTTGTCAAACGGCACGGACATGTTTCTTGTAAAATATTTTGATGTTGATAATTATGCAAGCTGTGTAATTATTGGAAACTCTTGCAAATGTGGTAGCAGAATAGACACAATGAAAGCAAAAGGCGACACTTGTCCACTAAATCTACGATGGCAGCTGTTGATAGTCACTGTCACCTCTAATCTGTTCACCAGATTAAGTCAGATTTTATTTTATTTTCATTGTATAGCTGATATAAGAACATCCTGGAAGGTTAGTTGGTTTATTGGGAGGCTTGCAGCTGAGGTGAGATTTCAATGGCACTCTTGTAATTCCTCATGGCTGGGGTTGATTTTAAGATTTGAGAGTTCAACCCTCACCCCCACCCAGCAATACAACACCAGCAAGCATCTCAAAAACATACCTATTTTTCATTTGAAAAAGTAAATTAGGAAATTTTCCACTCAGAGACAATAGCTTAACTTGAAAAAGCTTTTCTCTTACAGTGAATAAAAATGACAGACTGCTCTCTGACACAAGAGATAAATATTTTAACTCCTGTTCTCTGGATAGGAATTACATAATATGTATGTGATATTTTACTAAGAGAGTCTAGTTAATATTTTTCTACCAATTTAAGGAATCAAACTTTATAAAGGAGCAAATCTTTTACCTTGATGGAAAGGGCTTAGGAATTTTCTTGTGGACCAAGGCTGAAGCTCTTTAACTTATCTTGCATGAGAGCATAGCTCATGCTCTTGGTAGTCTCTCAAGAAAACCACATATCTTAGCATTTATACAACATTTAAAAAATACCTGTTTTCTTTGAATTGGGATCTTTGAAATCGTTCAGTTTCTTCACTGGTTTGAGGTTTTATATTTAAAATTCCCTTTCTGTTGTTTTGGTTTGCAGAATTTCTTTGTTCTGTAGTGGGGGGGGGGAATGTTCTTCAGTTAGTAGTTCAAGTGCTGATAGAGTTTCTTTAGAGTCCTGTATACACCTGCTAACTAAGGTTTGTAAAATAAAGCAGCATAATGAGTGAGTTGCCAAGTGTCCTTTAATATGATAGTATATTGTTAGGGATCCTTGTGTTTGCATGGGTGACTGAAACTATCTTTTGGATTTTCCATATTAGAATGAAAAAAAAAAAAGCATGGCATTTATCATCAAGAAAGAAGGCTGTGTCTGGCAGTGGCATTGTCTCGGTAACAAAGAGAAAACTTCCAAAGGTAAGTGGACAGCATTATGGATTGCTTGCCTTACCACCCACAGGAACGCACAGTCATCAAACACCGAATTAAGAGCATTCATGAAGGAGAGTGTCACAGGGAAGTAAAAGTGGAGGATGCAAAGTCTGGGGAAAATGCCCATCAGAGATGTCTTACGCACACCTGTGTACATACCCACACCTGCAAGCACAAAGTCAGCCTCAACCTCTGTACCTGTCCTTAGAAGGTTATATACTCAGTGGAATACTACTCAGCTATTAAAAAGAGGAAATAGTGCTTGTGGGACAAAAGTGGATGGGTCTTGAGCTGAATATGTTAAGTGAAATAAAGCAGAAAGTAAAAGCTAGTTCCGATGATCTTGCTCATCTGTGGAAGATCCTTCCAGGACAGGGGTGTGTTGGGCTTTGAAGTCTGGCCTAGGCATCCTCTGAACACTGCTGCTAGTACATCACAGGGGTGACTTCACCCCAGAACATATTTTCATCATCGGAAAGAAGAAAATGATTGTTTGCCATTTATTTTTGCTGAAGTTGAAAAGCTTTCAGCTACAAATCCCAGAAGACTTGGGTGTCCCCACTCTCTCAGGAAGGTGTGACTGGAGGCACAGAGCCCAGCATGGCGGTCTCTGGGCTGTCTTCTCCACCCCGGGCAGTGGGCTCTGCCTGGGTTCCAGAGACTGCAAACAGCCAGCCGTCCCGCATCTGGCCAATTATGCAATGGTCGATCACAAGAGGGAAATTCCTTCCTCACCCCAGCTGGTGAACAGTTATGCCCTGGAGCCCAGGACGGACATGCCTGGTAACTTTTTAACCTAGTTAGTGGAACTGCCAATATTATTACTACTCATATAAATGTCTAATCCTTTCTTGAATCTTGCTACACTATTTGCCTCAATAATATCCCGCGGCAGTGCATTCCACAGGTAGATTATACGCTGTTTTAAAAAGTATTTCCTTTTATTCGTTTTAAATTTGTTACTTTTTAATGTCACAAGATGGTCCTTGTTCCTGCATGAAGTGGTAGAGGCACAGCATTTCAAACTGAGCTTTCATTCCCAAGCCCTTTCTTGGCCGTCACCAAACCCTGTCTTCTTTATATACTTTCTGTGAGTGTCCAAGTCATCTTGATTCGATGCGATCATTTATATGAACAGTCTCAGAGCACTATATAGTGACACTGGAAAAAGGCCCTTGATAGCTACTGCCACTTATTGGAAAAATCGTTATTGTGTACCTTCTGGGTGCAGGAGTTGTTCTAAGTATTGGAGAGACAGATTTGAACAAAAGAAGGTCCTGATGTTCTAGAGAGTGAAGACAAGAAGTAAATAGTGCATAATGGTTTGAACTACATGGCTCAGATCAGATGAATGATCAGAGGAGGTGGCTGGGAAGGAACAGCAGGTCAGATTGCATGGCCAGGGACAGTGGACCTTGCCCCCCCCCCCAGGACTCCCTTCTGCACCCTCAGGAAGGTGGCGCTGGCTCCTAACACAGGGGATACACCAGCATTATTTGTTAAGCAAATCAGCGAATCAGAGTTCAGAAGGGAAATCTTAATTAGATAAATCATCTTGTAAGTTAGGCATAGACTCTGGAGGATCATTTCTAAAATCCCTGTTTTCTGTAACACTGACGAGAGTGGAGTAAAAATCTAGGGAGTCAGCTAGCTTGACTTGGGTTTCAAGAATGGCCGGTGCACTCAACAAACCAATGTGTGACCTTGGGCTGGTCACCTCATCTCTCACCCCAGTTCTCATTCACAAAAATGAAAGCAAAACTTCCTTCCTTCTAGGGTTTCCAGGGGTGAGGTGGGTTACGTGGTCATTCTTTATAAGCTGCTAGACAACATGGAGACATTAGTGGTCCTTGGGGGAATTAGCTCTTCTGAACCTTCACTGTACCTGGTCCTCTTTTCTCTCCTTTTCCATTCTGTGCTTTTTTCTCCATCCCCTCTTTCAACCCCTGACTGGTCCTTTCAACTCCTGACTGGCTGCGGCATCGTGCACCTCAGTTCTCTGCCCCCGAAGTGGCTTAAGTGAAATGGGTCAACTCTCTGAAAATTCTGTCTATTTCTCAAGGACTTAAGGTGTGGTTCTTGGAACGGTGGGGAACGAAACATGTTTCCAACAGGGGTTGCTCACTTTTATTCTGTCTGTTGCATCATCTTCTGAGGTGAGATGAGTTAGAGTTCTGTGGATGGAGAACGAAACCTGGCCTGGATCTCCGAGGGCCTTTTCCCTAGAAGTGGAGAACTTGCCTGAAAGGCTCTGACTACTTGCCTTGCACTTACCAGTGCAGCGGGCAGACACCACTTGCCACTTCCTCACCTTCCTGCTTTTTATTCCCTCTACCCCCCCCCCCAACATTTGCTTTTTCACCACTTAGGCAATTTGAAGTGGAAACATGTAGCACTCTGCATAATAACACATTAGAGAGGCATTTCAAGGAATAAATTATTAGAATTGTTTACTTGCAGAGTTCACATGCACTGGCAAATTGCTCAGACCTCAGTTGCTTGGAGCTGCTGTGAGCAGACTTCTTCCAACAGAACTCTGACACAGGAGATGCTTCCTCCTGGTGGCCCTCACCGACTCTTCCTTGTCCCTTTCCTTTCAACACCTCCCTCCTTTACCACCCTCACATAACTCCCTGCAGTTGACCGTCCTTTTACACCTTAACGTGACGACATTTTGTGGGTTCCACCCCCAGATGGGCCCCCAATGCGAGCGAGGTGTGCAAAGGAATAAATCTTTAATGGGATAATTTTAGACCCTGTGGCAACTGGCCAGGGTGGCTATTTCGGGCTGTGGGCCTCTCTCCTTGACCCGAGACATGGTACTTTGCCTGCTGCCCCCAGGCTCCAGCCGACCTGCATGTAGACCTTGTAGCAAGGTTTTCTCTCTCCTGGGGGAGGCTTCTTCATTTCTCTGCTGGGCAGCCTGCTCAGGTCGTGGATCTGTCCACATGCAATCACTAAGGGTCTTCACAGTGACATTCCCCTGTGGTGGCACAGGCTGTCCCCACACAGGACAGTCTCCTTTCTGGGCATTTCCTGGTCTAGTTTTTGCCTCGTCCTCAGCCTCCAGCTTTATCAGCTGCAGAGACCATTCTGTGTACCTCGCCTTCTCTGAGTGAGGCGAGCGGGCGGGTGTCCAGGCTGCAGAGTGTGAGCAACCCTCCTACGCAGCTGCCCAGAGCTGCTGTCTGGGGCCCTCACAGCGATCTTGACCACCCTGACTGTCTCCCACTCACATGCCTGAGGCAGCTGCTGTCTGCAGAGGAAGCCAGTGGGGCCGCAGGATGGGTGGAGATGCTGGGAAGGTCCCAAAGGGGTCCTCGGAGGAGGGTGAGTTTACAGCCAAAATCAGCCCTGGGAAGGGGGTCTTCTTAGCTCTTCCACCCTAGAAAGTGCATACAAGTCTCCAAGATCCCTCTGGCAGGCGAGATCAATTCAGTAAGAACACAAAAGGGGAACAGTTTGTTTAAGAAAGATTTGAGCTTTTTATGCCAAAAGAGAGAAAATAGGGGACTTTTTATAAATACAAAGAAAAGATCTGGCTCTGTCTGGGAGTTTGCTCTTCTACAAATCCCTAACTATTTATTAAAAGGGGAGAATTCTAGATTTGTGGAGGGAGGGATGGGGAAGAAAAAGAAGTGGGGTGAGGAGACTTGGATAGCAAGAGTCTGAAGGACAGAAAATAATGGAGATAAAGCAAAGAGGAAGAAGATCAAGAGATAATGTTGGTTCCTTTATTTGCTGATGACTTAATTTTGATTGATGTTTATTGAGAACCAGCGATGTCTGTAAGTCATCACTTTTACCCACTTACAGCCCTCACTGTCATTACATTTTCATTTCATGGCTCTGAGTGTAGGCCAGGCTCAGTTGGGTGGGTCTTACGCACCCAAGACTGGATCACCCCTTCCCTTCCCTGTCCCCCCATGCCGTGAAGGCTGCAGCTCTTGCTGCTACCTCAGTTGAGACCATCAACTCAAATGTCTGTGGTGGTAGCTCCCATCACTGCCTGTGGGCTGAGTCTCTCAGCATCTCACTCCTGTGATTCTTCCTTGACCACTCAGACCTCTAAAGGTAAGGGTCCCAAGAGAACAGAAGCTGAAGTCACCTCTGTTGTTCAGCTCAGGCACAAACTTTATGAGACCCCAGTCATTATGGTCAACTGCTTTTTTATACAAGAATAAAAGCAAAAATAATAACATATATATATTCTGTGATGCCAGCATGACTGAGTAACTCGCCCATGTGGCTTCAGATGCCAGCAGGTACCTGTGACAGAGGACTTTGGGAGGAGGGTCAGCTAGGGAAGTTAGCCGGGAAGTCACAGTGGACAAAAGTACACAAATTAGCGTTAACATCAACTGCACTTGGTGGGAAAGTAGAGATTTGAGGAGTGCTGAAGAACTTGTGGACATGTTTAAAAGACTGGTAAAATGCCCACTAGCAATGCTTGCTGCTTCCCACCTCCCAACACACAAGAGATTTCCATCCAGTTGGAGTGATAAAAGTTAATTAAGTCATCAGCAAAAGCCACGGAAGTGTTTACTCTCCAAAAGATCAAGGTGAGAGAGGGACATCTACCCGGTGGAGTCCCGGATGATGAGAGCTTGTATGCAGAGAGGTGTTTGGCAGAGTGTGGCCAGAAAGGCTATGAGCCAGTTACCATTTGGAGAACATTCTCTGACTCTGGAGTGGGTATTCTGGCTTGTCTCATTCAAGCCCCAATGTTTGTGCTCAACGACTAATCTTGTTACCTGTCTTCTCTTACTTTGCCTCAGTTAAGTGACCAACTGTCCTTTCTTTCAATTACTTTATTCCTCTCATGTCCTAAACTCTAGCAATGACATTATTTCTCATGGTCATCACTTTATCGTTCCTTTGCATGAACAAGACTTTGCACCTGCTCCCCTTCCTTCCATATTTGCTACTCCACTGACATTTTGCCGATCAATGAACTCTCCCTGCTCTTCCACATTTGATTGCTT